TGTTTGGGTAAAGATTGACAAATGACGGCTACGTAGAAAAAAGTGAAATTCTAGAAAACTAATTTTATTTTTTTCTAGAACTAGTTTTTTTTTTTTGTGATACCGTTGAAAAGTTATCGATGGACAATTTGTGTAATCTATCCTTATATGGCGATGATTTGATTACTTTCGCCACATTAAAAATTATTATGTTTTTTTTAAATCGTATCTCCTTGATGAATAAGTTCAAATTGGCAAAAAAAAAAACGTAACTTTGTAGAACTTATTTAGGACTACAATATTACGTTTTTTTTTTTACATATTCATTGAAGAGTTATAATTTTGGATGTCTTTAGATGATTTGCACCGTATGAAATACAGAAATATAGAATTATTATTGTACTATATATTGTTATATAATTGCACGTGATTCTAATTAAATGTCGTAACACTGCTACACTCTTTAGATATGTTTATAAATCACATGGTAATATGTTTAACTATAACTGATAAGATGCCAATTATTTCAATTATTTCAATTATTTGTGTCACAGCCACAGTAAAATAGTGGAGGCAGGCAATAAAGAAGCCGTTTTATTGTTTTTATTGTCCATTGATCTCTGAACAGATAAAAATGGATGACAAGAAACCAGACACACCTTCGAATCCCGACGAAAATACGGAAACATATCCGAAACTTCCTTCACCAGTAATTGCAAGAAGCTACCATGCACTTAACGGCTCTACTATAACCTCTCCTCAGATAGCTTCTCTCCGTTTAAAACCAACTAAAAGTACCGATTCCCTTACAAATCATCCCTTGCAGAATTTTGACGAGGAAGAAAGTGATGTGTTTTCTACCTGGTCGAGTCAACTGAGTAGAAGATCTCCATCAACGTCTTCAACTTCTTCCTCGTCGTCTTTACAACCAAAATTTTCTCCAGTACCCGTGGACTCAGTAGGCGGTTTGATGCTCACTAAACTTCGTGAAATGAATACGGTGAATGCGGACTTTTCAAGTATTGTGCAAATGCTGATTGCAAAAAAGGTTGGAGACTACATGTCTTTTGACTTTTGATGGGACCCTGCACCTAGTATGTATTAGCATTAGTTTGACAATGCCTTCCAAAATGTATCTTTTTGGTTGACACCACCCCATACAAATTTTCTCCCTGGATTGGGAATTCTCAGGCAACACTCTTGCTCCCTGCGTCTGCCATAATGCCTTTCGAACAAGTTGATCTGACTCTTCTTGAAGATCATGTGCTTGTCTCCCAACCAAGCGACGATGGTCATAAAATAATAACTTTAAGTGGTGTGACAGGTTTCATTCAACAGTAAGTATATAAATTGCATATAAATTATATGTAAATTATATGTAAATTATATGTAAATTATATATAATATTTTAACTTTTATATATATGTACCGATTAATTTTCAATCAGGGACACGTTAAAGACAATCGGTTTAGTACCACCTGAACCACCTATTTCCACATATATTAAAGAAAATTCAAAGACTCGCAAGTTGGTGTTTTTTTTCTACATTTTTTTGTCCTTTACACCGTCTCGTAGGCAAATTTTCCAGCAAAATTTTATAATCGATCTGTGGTTAAACTATCAAATTATATTGAATCTACAGTGGGACAGTGTAAGGGATAATGAATATTACAAAAAAAAAAATTTTTTTTATTAATAAATATTAATTTTTTATTTAGATCAATTTTTGACTCAATTTTAAAACCTGCCGATCTGCCTTATGATTGTCCGTCGATTAAAGTTATCAATAAGGATGTTGATATTCTTTTGCAAGGTATGACCATTCAAACAATAGTAATCGAATCATCTTTACGAGTCAAAGAAGTTGAAGAACGTATTGCGACACTTGAGACAAGCAAAGAAATAGAACTTAAAGTTGAAAGTGTTGATTTACCTGATTTACCGGAGAATGTGTTAAAAGAAGTTAATGGGTATATATTATGATTCAAAAAATATTAATTATATAATTATTTCGTTTCTTTTTCTAAAAATAAAATTTGTCAATTTATATTCTAGCTTTACCGGTGAATACATTAAGCTACCTTTGCAAGATGAAGTCACATCTGGTGATAAAATTCAAGGATTTTTTGATAGTATACATTACCAATTTGAGTCACAAGTGGAATTAAATAATGAAAAGGAAGATGAAAATGCAAATGAAAATGAAATATATGAATCATTGAATCTTGTTGAAAAATATGTGTGCACTGTACTTTATGATCAGTATGTATTAAATTTTAGGTTTAATTAGATTAATATATATATATATATATATATAATTTTACCAACTTAAAAAAAATAATTATATTTTTTAAAGCATATTTTCTCCAAAGTGGTCGGATGATAGTTCAGCAGACGATGCTCTTGGGTCAAAAATAGCTGCTTTAAACTTTTATAAGTTAGGTCTTTCACATCTTGGAGTTGATGTCAATCCACAACAAGAGCATATAGATATTGCCATCCAAACAGCGGGCAAAGAATTACAAAATTTGGATCAAGTTAAAGCACCGTATGAGAAACTCAACATCATTATTAGATGTCACAGGATTGTGGTTGGTAAGTCGCAAAATATATTACTTTTTTTTCACTTTCTTATCCTTGTTTGCATGTTGTTTTATACTTTATTTTCTATACTTCTCTCTTAATTCATTTAGATGCACTTGAGAAAAAATCACAAAACTCGCCAAAAAATGAGCCGAATGGTATTAAAACCACTGTTCAAGATGCTTCTGAAAATGCTTCTGAAGATGTTCCTGAAGATGCACCTAAAGATGCACCTGAAGATGCACCTAAAGATGCACCTGAAGATGCACCTAAAGATGCACCTGAAGATATTCCTGTAGTGCCATTATCACAGACACCAGATTCGTCTGTGCCGATACCTCCGCCCGTATCTCCCATGTCACCAACGCAAACTGCGCCAAAATCTCCAACATCTCCAACATCTCCATCAGAAGAAAAGACTAATAAATCTAATGCGGATGCGATATTTCCCTTGTTAATCTTTATTGTTGTTAAATCCAATCCTAAAAAATTAATTTCAAATTTGAGGTTATTATCGAAAACAAGAGCAAATTTATTATCTTGAATTCCCGTTTCTATAACAAATTATTACATTCTTTTTTTTTTTGACAGGTTCATGCAGAGATATCGAATACGAAGTTTGCTACATGGAGAAGCTTCTTATTGCCTAACAAATCTTGTGCGATTAATTTATCTTAAATCAATCATTATATACGCTTTGTCTATCATATAAGATGTATTAAAATATAATCACCCATATAATTACTTATTTTAGCTTGCAATTGTTGAATTCTTGGGAAAAATGGATCTTAATGATTTCGGATTACAATCTGATAAGCCATTAAGGTATGTTATCAGACCTAAAATAATTTATAAAGGATTTTAAATTTTAAAAGAACTGAATACTAAGAAAATTTATTTTTAGTATTGCCAATGAGCAAATACCTTCGACTTCAACCATACCAACAGTCATAGAACACAGGGTGAGTCGTAGAGTTGGACAGGAAATTGTTGGCGTGGCTGACAGTGGTCTTAAAGTTATCACGGGAGTCGTAGATACTTCATACAAGATGATCGGTCGTGTATTAGGATATAAGGAGAACTCTACTGCAAATTCCACATCACCATCAGCAGCAGATATTGGAAAAGAACATAATTTGATACCAAATACTACCAATTCTACAGAAGATATAAATACTGAACCATCGGCAAAAATTATAGAGAAGGAACTAGCAGAAATTAGTTCTGATAAACATGACACCGAAAAGAACTCTCAAATTGATGAGCCTAAATCACTGTAAATATTATGATTATTATATCTTTATTATCAATTCCTAATAATTTTTAATAATCTTTAATAAATTGAAATAAATTATAGGACTGAGCGTTTGATTCCTTTTAATATACTTACACGGTTCAGCAGCGATCGCGTTCATGCAGAAGAGGTAGGATTCATATTTAAATAAAATAAAGAAATCAATACATTATTGCGATATTAAAAATTTTCATTTTATTGTATAGGAAAATAAAAAAGAAAATGAAGAAAATAAAGAAAATAAGGGGATGATCAATCAACATAATAAGATAGCACCACCGATTAAACGATTTTTGGATTGTTCGGACGATGAATTTCGTGCAAAAGATGTACCAGGTCCGTAATTAAACATATATGTTATCTATATATTACTGTCAACTATTATATTCTTACAATTTTATGTATATAATTAATAGAGCTCTTGTCTGATTATAAACGATTGTCGGCTGCTATTCAAGAACTTGGACTTTTTTCATCTTGATCGTTAATATATAGTATATAAAATAAATTATATATGTATTTACTTTGCAAATATTACGTTTTTATAATTCAAAGACCTATTTATTATTTGCTTTGTTTACACATATTATCTTAGATATAATTTGTAACCTTTTTATTTACACTTAATAAACTTTTTGGTACGAGATATTCAACTTATTTTGCAAATGTTCACCAGCAGTAATATATTTTGTATTATCATCATCTTTGGGAATTAATTTTGAAGGAATACGATCTAATACAATATCAGAACCAGCGTGAAAAAAATAAGCAATACTATATCTATCCAAATTACAAGTATCTTCACGAAAAATTACACGATGTTTAATAGATTTAAATAAACCTTTTGACCAAAATTGTAAACAATCAGCAACGTTTATTACCACATGATTTGGAATAATAGGAACAGGGACCCATTCTGTAGAATTATGAGGTAAAATTTCTAGACCACCAATCTCTTTTTGAAAGAGGACTGTCATCGAACCATAATCTGAATGACTATATAAAAGAAGAATTTATATGTCAGAAATTATATGTCAGAAGTTATATGTCAGAATATGTTAGAAATTTTTTTTTTTTAAACAATAAAATTTATTCAGTACCTTCCAGCTCGAATATCTTTTTGATCATTCTTAACCACCGTTGGAGGATAATGAATAAGTCGTAAACAATCACCAGATTTTAAATCATAACTATGTTTTGATTCAAACCAATATTCGCCACCTTCACTTTGTGGTATTTCTAAAGCGATTGCTAAAGCTTGTAATAATTTCAAACATAATTGATGACATTTCTGTTTACAAAAAAAAAAATGCATTGAAATAAATATTTTTAAATATAAAAAATGATTAATCGAATTCACAATATAAATAACTTTAATATCATACTTTTGAAAGAGACGAATATAAGGATTTCTTTTCATTAAATAAAGGAGGTAAAGTTTGAGCTAAAGGGTCATCATTATCATCAAATTTACTAAAATTAAAAGATTCTTTATGATCTCCAATTTTTTGAGTTTCAAGGTCAAGTAATTCTTGACGAAGATCAATATATCCATAATAATGTTCATTTATTTTATAATTTTGTTTTTCTTCATGAGGTTGGTCAAAGTAAAGTTTAGTCTATTATTTTTTTTTTTTTAAAAAAAAAAAATTCATTATTATACTTATTATCGAGTCAATGATATATAAAAGAAAAAAAATGGTTAACTTACATAATGAAATGTATCTTCTACGTCTTTTTCATTAAATCCATGATTTTTTAAATAAAAAAATCCCAAGTTTTCACAAGCAAGTTTAATTTGTTGAGCACAAAGAGGTCGATTTGTTTCAAATAATGAAAAATCGATTATTGGAATGTCTTTAGATTGAAAGGTATCAGTCATTTTTCGTAATAATTAATATATATATATATCTGATATATATATATCGATATATAACAGTTGAATCTTAAGATTTGGAGATCCAACATTTTCATTGTCATATATATACCAGTTCCGATTTTCATAATTACACAACATAAACACTTAAAGTTATTATTAAGGTTTCTATGAATCAAAAGTAGTACGTAAAATATTATACAAAGAATGAATACTATTGTATAATAAATTATATTTTAATTTGCAAAATATATAATCTAAAAAGTGGTTTACTTGGTGTGCACGGGAGTTTTTGCATTTTTAACTTTGCCGTATGTTAAGACTGATGCGACTTATAGAAAAAAACTTTTTCGATAGATAGATTAAGATTCGTACAGTACCTTCGAAATTGTAAATTAAAGTACTTCATATTTTAATCAACATCGGTATGAATTTATTAATCAAAAAAAAAAATAATTTCCCAACATAAATCAAAATTATTTTTATTAATCATTATATTTAACTTCCATTACGATTACTAAAATCCACATGGGTCAGTCTCTACCGTTATGAGTATTCGGGCACTTTTGATCAAACTTTGATAATTTATTGGATCGTATTCTTGA